ATTTTATTTATTTATTTGAGAAGAGAGAGAATGAGCGGTGGGGAAGGGCAGAGGGAGGGAGAGAGAGACAGAGCGAGAGAAAGAGAAGCAGTCCCCCTGCAGAGCAGGAAGCCATCCCAGGACCTAGAGATCATGACCTGAGCTGAGCCACCCAGGTGCCCCAGAAATTTCAGTTTTAAAGTATTTCTAGCAATTTGTAAGATTCACTGTCTCAGTAAAGTATTTTATCTAGATGGGAAAAAAAATTTTTTTGGCTCCAAAATGGCATTTAGATAAGCAGTCCTCTAAAAGCAACCTGAATGTCTGTTAGTAAGGAATGGATAACTTTATGATATATTTGGTGGGTAGAATATTCTACAGAACTTGAAAAGAATGAGCCAGACCTTTCTGCACATCGGTATGGATGAAACTCAAAACCCAAAATGTAGAGTGAAAAACACAGATTTCAGAATGTTATATATTTGTTATATAAATGTTAGACATTACTTAGAACAATATCATATGCCAGATAATGTTTATGAATGTGTGTGAGTACAGTGCATGCCTACGTATGCCTATGAATAAAAAGTGGACTGGCTCTCTATCAAATTCATGATAGTGGTTGTCCCTGGGAGAAGAGGAACAGGGATAGGGAGGGGCACATAAATGTACATTTTTAAAAAGTCCCTGAGTTGGGGGCACCTGGGTGGCTCAGTGGGTTAAGCCTCTGCCTTCGGCTCAGGTCATGACCTCAGGGTCCTGATTTCGAGCCCCACATTCGGCTCTCTGCTCGGCAGGGAGCCTGCTTCCCCCCCTCTCTCTGCCTGCTTCTCTGCCTGCTTGTGATCTCTGTCTCTCTGTCAAATAAATGAATAAAGTCTTTAAAAATAAATAAATAAATAAATAAAAAGTCTCTGAGAAGATATGGTTATCTCAGTTAATGGGCTCAGGTACATTTGTTATATTAACATATGGACTTCTATTAAAATTTTTGTAATAAAAAATTCTGTGTAATATTTCCTAACGGAATAGGTTCCTACCAGGAACCATGTATTTATCAAGACTCTGGGAATGAGACTAAAGCTATTCTAATACATCTCATTCACGATGCCATTCTGTGAAAAATGAAAAGTTGACAGAATAAATCTTGAATGGGAGGAAAGCTCCGGATACCTGCTCCTGGGAAGTTCTCGCAGCTTACAGGTCCAGAATAAGGACTCAGGCAGCAGACCGCCTAGACCAAACCCTGGCTTGCCACCTTCCAGGTTTGAGACCTTGGACAGGTAGACCTTTCTAAGCCTTTCTGTGTCCCTAGCTGTAGAATTTGAGTAACATTGCCCGGGCCAGGGCTGGGGAGGGCTGTGAGCTCATGCGAGGGGTACACACTCCCCGAGATCAGCTGTTAACTGTTTCCAGCATTGCTCTATCAGCAGCCTCAATTCTTCTGTGTGTATCTTTCATTCTCACCTCAGAATCTTTGCAAATGCTCTTTCCTTTGCCCAGAATGTTTTTCATTTTCATCTCTCTCTCTGGTTAACTCTTCAGTAGAGTTCTCTGAGAATTCCCCCAATTCTTCAGGGAAGCTTCCCTGTCCTCGACTTGGGTCAGTTTCTAGCCATACCGCAGCTGTAATTTAAATAATTACTTGTGAACCGCTTATTAATATCTGCCTCTCTCCTGGTTGGTAATCTGTTTTTACTTTTTATTTTCCTTTTCTACTTTATTTTTAGTGCCTGGAACAATGATATAGAATAGGCATTGAGAAACTATTGATTAAATCAACAGTTATTGTAGATGGTGGAAACTTTCGGAGTTAATTTTTTGAGGAAATAAATTTTACTCACTTTGCCAAAAGGATTAACCTACTAGTATTAGTAAGTGAATCTAGGATTATGTGATTTCATAAAAAAATACTTATCACATGTATTGGTTTACTTGTAAAAATATTATAAAGTACCCCAAATTAAGATTTGCATCATATTTGTAATTCGGCTTTAGATAATCATCTGATGGATAGTAATATAAGTATCATCACATATTTTCATGTACTGTGGAAAGCAGGAAAATTTTCAATACTTTAATCTTAAGATTTTATGTAGGTTCATCTGATTGCTTGCCCTCATGTTAACTCACTTTTTTCTTTTAAAAATAGCAAAAGAGGAATTAACAGGTGATACTTCCCAAGGAGCAGAATAAGTCAGGTTCATTCAGGATTAACTGACAAGTAAATAAGCAGTTTGAAAAAAATGGCTTTTGTCAATTGGATGGAATGCTACTTGTAACCTTTAAGCAAACTGAAACAGCAAACTCTGACTTTCAGAGTCAGAAGAAGGGCAGGAAACGGATTCCCTCTTAGTTGTTGGTTTATTTACTCTGGGAGAGAAACATAAGAACACTTCCAAATTTAAGGAAGGTCTGTGTTCAGATATTAGCGCATTTCTCCAGGAAAGATACCACATAGGATTTTGAAGTGATTAAAGTCCAGATTTATTAGATCGGGGATCAGAGCCAGAAACAGGGACTTTCAAAACACTGAAGGCATTTTTATGACTCTGATGGATGGTAGGGAGGTGAAATTTCAGAGCTAGGTAAATAATGCAAAGCCCTCCATTGAAAAAGGAGACCACAAATTGTAGCCTTGGGAGAATTACCCCTTCCCCACCTTTGCAGACACATGATTTTATACCGCAGATCACTGGGAAAAATTTATAGCCATATTTTCTTTCACTCTACTTCTCTGTTAACTGTTGTATAGGGAAATCATAAGTAACTACATTTTTGAATGCTGAATGCATATTTACAATATAGTTGCTTGGTTTTAAATATTTGCTAAGCTTGGAGTATGATCATCATTTTTTTTTAATGGAAGTAAAACATTTCCTCTTTAGAATTGTGCAAAATTATTGTTCAAAAGTATGACGGGGGCAGGTACTGCAACATACTAGGATACAGACTTACTTTGAATTTTGAATGTGTGGACTCACAAAATCCTGCTAATTACCACTTACCCTATTTATTAGTCATCTGCCTCCAGATCAAGGTGGGAGAGTACTTTTGAAGTCATACGATTAGAGGATTCTGTGCACTTTGGGGAACACTAATTTAAATCACATTTTAAGGCTGGTAGTCGAGTTATATACTTGACACTCTTGACTCACAGCCTTGGCATTACTGGGCAGCTTGCTAGAAATGCAGGTTCTTAGGCCGCACCCCAGACCTACCTAATCAGAATCTACAGTTTAGCAAGATGCTCAGGTGATGCCAATGGACATTTAAGTTTGTTAAGCGCTGCTGTCCAAATGCCCCCAAGTGATTTTTAGAACAGAGTATTTTTAGTAACAAGTGACTCATTATCTAATAATGTAACCTGTTATCTTTCCTGTATTATCTTTGGGCAACCCAAATATTAGCAAGTTCTCTCTTTCTGAGCTGAAACCTACCTCCTTGAATATTGCTTTTACTGGGTTTGGCTTAATAGCCCCCTCCCTTTCCCCTCACCCCACTCAGCCTTCGGAACCAGGCTAATGCCTCTTCTTCATGATGGTCATTCAAACAGGAACTGGGTGATCCTGTTTCCTGCCTTGATTTAAGTTTCTCCAGGTGTAAGTAAGTCCCTCTCCCCCGAGCTCTTCCTGAGATGATACTTTTTGGGGTTTCTTTACCCAGTGTTCAGACTAGATAACTTTAAAGGACCCTTCCAACTTCAAAATTGTGATTTCTCCTTTACTTTCAGCTGGTAGTTAAGTACTAGTGGGCAGAAGATGACAGAAACCCAGGAGCTGTACTCTCTTTGCATTTAAGGAGAATGATTCTGAGGCACAAATGTATAATTATCCATAATTTCCTTAGGCTCAGAATTCTGCTTCACAGTGGAGACTTCCATTATAATAATAGCTACTAGAGAGCACCACTTTGCCTTTCTTGCAATTTCTAAATGCATCAACTTCTGCATTTCAAAAGTGGAAATAAGCATTTGTTGTGTCTCTGTGAATTTTCAATTTCAAAGAAAAAAATTCCCTGTAATCCATGACTTAGTACATTAGCGGATTTCGTTTTCCTCTAGTGTCTTTCGGTAATGTGTCACACATACATCCATCTTATACATAGAAATAATTTTCGTGTTCTCAGCTTTTAAAATGTTTCCTTCTTTACTTGGTGGATTCTGAATATTTTTTCATGGTATTTAATGATTTTCATAATAGTTAAGCACAATTATTTCCTTATTGTACGACATCAGAATTCATAGTGACTGCTTAAGTAAAGTATTTGTCATATTTTTATTGGTTTGGTTTTTTGATATTTGTTTCCTAAGGATTTTTTTTTTTAAATAACATTTTCTACTACCACAAATACAGAGTGTGCAATTTTTGTTTTGTTTGTTTTTGTATCAGGATTAGTCTTGTGTAAGAAAAGCTGTAGCAAGAGCAGTTTGGGATATTTTTTTCAAAAATTTTTTTTTTTTTTTTTGAGGAAATAGCCCACAGCACATTTTTAAACAACTTGTTCTTGTAATTTCTCCATGCTTCCTTTCCCCTCATTTTCTTCTAGATATTTTCATTCTTCTTGACCTCCTGCTTATTCTCCTGTCTCCCTTCCCTTCCTCCTTGGAGGGTTTTCAGAGCAACCATGTCCCCTCTCACCTTTGCATTTAACAATAAAGCTGTGTGTATGTGTGGAGAGAAGCTGAAAAATAAGACAGATGGTTCTTTCATTACCAGGTTGTTTTGGATTAATTGAACTGGATTTTTTTTTTTTTTTTCCAAGAAGCCTGAGCTGGGTGTAGTGGATAGCCAGTCATGAGCTATAGTAATGTAATATATGCTGCCCATTTTGTTCTTGGATTTTTTTGTTTGTTTGTTTGTTTTTGGTAATTTCATCACCCTGTCAAGCATTTTGGGAGGGGTCAGAAGTGAGTTTACTAAGATGATGTATTCATTGAACATTTTTTAATGGCTTAAAGCTTTTCTTGAGCAGTGAAGCCCATTCGTACTAAGCAATGCTATTTTTGTGTTTTCGTTCAGCACTTGCAAGTGGAGAAGCAGCCCATCCCTTTATATTGGGTGATTGCTAGTGGAGAAGCTCTGACAATTTAGCAGACTGGCTCTTGGGCCTCTCTGACCCTTACCACATCCTTCGCCTTCAGGAGCAGAGTGACCTTCAGGAGCAGAGCGCCTTTGGGAAACAGATTCCTAAAAGTGCAGGTAAGACGCTACCTCTGTCTCAGACTTCTTAGTTGGGAGTTTGAACACTTGGAAGTTTCTTATACAATGTTGCCACCTCTAGCAGATGACTTTTAGATGCCTATTAATACATCTCTTACTAGTTCAACATGTGACCAGAGGGGTCATGAGTCTTTGAATGTCACCAGTGACTGATCAGCATATCCCAAGTTGAGCTATGGAAGTTGTAAATACTTTTATTATTATTTTAAAATTTATTGGGGTGCCTGGGTGGCTCAGTGGGTTAAGCCTCTGCCCTCGGCTCGGGTCATGATCCCAGGGTCCTGGGATGGAGCCCCGCATCGGGCTCTCTGCTCAGCAGGGAGCCTGCTTCCCTCTCTCTCCTCTCTCTCTCTCTCTGCCTGCCTCTCTGCCTACTTGTGATCTCTGTCTGTCAAAAAAATAAATAAAATCTTAAAAAAAAAAAAATAAAATAAAATTTATTTATTTAAGTAATCGCTACACTCACTGTGCGGCTAGAACTCATAACCCCAAGATCAGGAGTTGCATGCTCTTCTGGCTAAGCCAGCTGCCCCTTAAATTTTTTTTTTTTTATTCTTAATGTGGATAGATCATCTTTGGGACTATTCTTAGCCAATATGGAAGGGAAAGAGTCAGAAACTGAAACACTGAAGCTAAAAACAGATCATTACGTGCATCATGGCTATTGTAGAAACTGCTGTTAATAAACTGTGTAACCTTGGGCAAGATGCTTGCCCTCTCTGGGCCTTGTTTTCTCAATAGAATGAACTCTAGTTTCCTTTCCATCCTTAAATGCTACAAGTAATAATAATTTTATTAAAGTACCTTAATATGATTTATAGGGATATTCTCTTTACTATTCCTGGAACCCATGTACAAATTTAAAACCCCACTTCGTGTATTTATTCTGAGAAAGCTCTGGAGCTCAAATGTCCATCAGGAATTAGCTCCACGTTTTACCCATTCGTCTAAACTGTCTTCCTGGTTGGTGAAGGCTCATCAGAAAGCAGTTATTCTTTTAGCAAATTTGTTACATTACTCTTTTGTTTGAAAATTATTTTTGTGAAGGACACCCATTGACTGAGAACATAATGCTTTCTTTTTTTTTTTTCAAAGATTTTATTTATTTATTTGACAGACAGAGATCACAAGTAGGCAGAGAGGCAGGCAGAGAGAGAGGAAGGGAAGCAGGCTCCCCGCTGAGCAGAGAGCCTGATTTGGGGCTCGATCCCAGGACCCCAAGATCATGACCTGAGCTGAAGGCAGAGGCTTTAACGCACTGAGCCACCCAGGTGCCCCAATATAATGCTTTCTTTAGTGGTACTGGCAGATTTGGACATGTACAATGGCTTTGGGCTTTGGTCCTTGGGAATCTTTTGAGCTCTTCACTGTCACACCGAGATTACTCATGAGTGGTTTCAGGGTCCTGAGCTCCTGGGCTGGCAGAACTCTTGACAACTGCAGACTCAGGCTGGACGTGGTCCTAGATCTGCAGGTTTCTTATTGCCAGACATACCTTGATATATTGGACTCTGAGCCATCATCATCTTGGTGATTGTGGAACTGTCTTTCCTGCCAGTCTACACATCTCCTGGCATCAGATGGAAGTGCAGATTCTGGTGTGTGCCTGCGCTCTAATTCCAGCCCTGCCACTTACTACCTTGGGGAAGGGATTCTTGAGGATGTTAAAATTTCTCTGTGCTTTAGTGTCATCACCCGTGTGGTAGGGATGACAGTAGTACCTTTCTCCAAGGGTGGTTTTGAAGAGTAAAGGAATTACACATGTAGAATATTTAGAACAGGTCTATTATGTAAGTGTTCAGAATGCTGAAACTATTTTTATTGCCATCTGTTGCAGTTCCATTTTCTGTTCCCATTCTCTAGGGCTGAGACACTCAGCTCCTCACCCCTACCTTGTTAGACATTGCTGATTGTCTCTTTCTTCCCGAATCTAGAATGCAATATTTGAATCCTTCTCAATAGCATATCTGCATAAGATGAAACTGTCCACTCAAATTTTTCCGGAGTTCTTGATTTTATTTCTTGTTTCAAGATGTGAATTTGATATGCTGATTCCAAGTCTGGGTTTTTTTTTTTTTTTTTTAACTAAAACTCCAGAGCAGTTATATTATGAAAAGCATAAAAAGATGTTGCTTCTATAGCCAGAAATTGGGTCTAATTCTCACATGAGTTTTGCTGATGGATTACTTCTACCTTGAACCCCTTTCATTTTTTATTCAGAAGCAGATGAATAAGTCTTCCTATCAGGGATGCTTTGAAATGTTGAAATGAATGTGCAGAAATAGCTTAGTAATGGAAGCTTAATTTTCTAAAGCTATTATTAGTGCAATGGCATTAGTTCTTCAGGGTCTTTGCCATGATGTTACAAAGTTCATTTTTTAGTAAGACCTTGGTCTGTGGGCAGTTAATATTTCGTGAGTTTTAAAAGAAAAACGAGAACAAGGTTAGGAGAGTCCTTACCGCATGCCAGACTTTAACCTGAGGGCTTTATATTTACTACGTACCATAGCTCTGTTGGGTTAGGTATTATTGCCATCTTACAGCCGAGGACACTAAGTTATAAAGAGATTAAGCAACCTCCCAGGGTCCTGTAACTGGTCAGATATGTAGAGCTGAGACTCAAACCCCCAGGGTCTGATCGCTGTGCAGGCAGCTTTAACACCTAATTATGCTGCTACCTGCAAAGAATTAATTGTATGGAGAAGAGAAGATGGAGCCCGACATGCCAGGCTAAGCGATTTTACATTTATTTGGCAGATTGTGGAAAGCCACTGATGGTTTCCCTGTGGAGTGGGTGACAGAATGAGAGCCGGGCTTTGAGGATTTGTGCCAGGTGCAGCACGTGGGCTGGTTTCAAGAGACATTAGAGATCATTGCTAGAAGCTGAGAAGAAATGTTCACATGGCTTTAGGGACCAGCATTAATTAAAATAAGACCTTGAGAACGCCCACATTTATGTGTGCCCGGGAGGAGGAGACCTGGAAATGTAGGCAGAGAAGTTAGAGGAGTGAGACCCAGGGCGGTGAAGTGCCCCCTGAAGGAGGTGACTTGAGAATTGAAAACCGTGAAGGTTGGAGAGGACTGGAACAAAACCAAGACTAGTGGGTTATTACTGTGTCCCTACCATGAGACTGGAATCGTGCTAGAGGAAAGTCCACATAAAAATGTCCTTTTGTGCCACGGACTCTACTACTTGTGAGTGAGATTCCCCCTTGGCAAGTTTTTAAATTTTTCTAAATCCTGGCTGTCTCTTCTAGAATATGGTGACCTAAGACCTTTCTCTGTCAACATGCCGTGAACTCTTTCCAGCTCTGAGGTCTGTAATTCCGGGGTTCAAGCTGTGAACAACAGTAATGGAGCCTGAGGTTGTAAAGGTTTGGCTGGTGATGCAGTTGACCATTTTAGGCAATGCAGAATGAATTATGTGCCCTGTATATATGAGAGGAGTATTTCCTCTCAAAATATCAGGAGTATTGTGGTGATAGTGGTAGCAAGTGGAAGGAGAAGACCGAAAACGATATAGGAATGAAAATGTTGAGGGAATTTACAAGGCAACCACAAATATTCCCTAGAATGTGAGGGAAATTCTTCTCAAGCCACTTATTTCAGACAGAATCTGACTGGTTTCTTCTGGAAAATTGAAAAGGCCATGTCCAAAAGACTTAGCAAAGATAGCAGGTAACGTAGAGTGAGCTTCCGGTTCCTCTAAAAAACCCTTTGGGATATCTCCCAGAGCCCTGACCCTCTGGGATATAATTTCTCTTTACCAGACTGTCTCCCATCAGTACTTCTCAAACACACAGATCACCTGGGGGTCTTGTTAAAGCACCAGTTTGATGCAGTGAATCAAGGGTGTGGAGCTGCAGTTCTGCATTTCTACCAGGTTCCCAGGTGTTGAATACTGCTGGTCCATGGACCTCACTTTGAACAGCAGGAGTCTAAAGTATTTTGTTCTAGGTCTCTCAACAGATAGTCATATTTAGAAACAGTGTAACAGTTCCCTTCTCGACTCATCTCGGGGAGTACACACCCATGATGAGCTCTTGATATCAACAGATGTATCAGTTCTTACTTCTGTCAATGATTTGTATTATTCAGTGGCATCAATAACTTGAATTGTTACGGGTGCAGGTTTTGTGTGTGTTTTTTTTTTTTTCTCCCCCTTCTTTAACTGAAGAATTCAAGCAAATCTGTTCAGGAATAGGCAGGAGACTACAATATAAAGTTTTTACATAAAGTTAAACATACATTTACTGTATGACCCATGAGAACATATGCTTGTTCAAAGACTTGTACTTGAATGTTTAATGTAGTGTTGCTAAAAGTAACAACAACAAAAAATGTGAAAAGAGCTAAATGTCTATTAGGTGGTGACTTGATAAATAGTTGTGGTAGAGTCATAAAATGGAATACTACGTGACTGTTAAAAAGGAGAGGATTCCTGATATAAGCAACATGAACAATTTTTTAAAAGCATTTATACTAATTAAAATAAGCCAGATATAAGGTTCTTATCACATGCTTCAATTTAAATGAGCTTCTAGAAAAAGCAAAAGTATTTCGGTAAACAGATCAGGGCCAGGGAGTTGGCCTTAAAGAGGAAAATGGGAACTTGGGGGCAGAGGTTGATGGAAATATTTAGTATGATTTTAGTAGTTGTTACATGACTGTATACATTTGTGAAAACTCATCAAATTGTACACCTGAAAGTGAATTTTATTATAAAAATTTTATCTCAATAAAGTGAATTTAAAAAATCAGCTACAGTTATTAACCTGTTAACATATAATATTCCTTGGAGGTTATCTTATGAGTTGGGTGCTAATATAAGGAAATAGAGAAAATTTCCACTCTGGGAGAAGAAATGGGTCTCTGGGAGAAAATATGAATAAACAGTAGGAATGTAAGAAGTTCCCTTAAAAGCTTCTTTGTGTATTTTCAATGTAGCTGAGTCTGAAGAGAGAGATCTTGGAAAACAG